GTGTGTGTGTGTGTGTGTGTGTGTGTGTGTGTGTGTGTGTGTGTGTGGTGAGGAATGTGGGAGCTCAGAGGGCACTTTGTAAGACAGTGTGTGTTCTGTAGTGTGTGTGTGTGTGTGTGTGTGTGTGTGAGAGAGAGAGACGATATCATGTGCGTTGAGGGGCGACAGCGTCTGTTTTTCTTTGCGCTCTGTGCGTGAAGGAGTAAAGATGATGTTTTCCTGTGTGTGTGTGGGTGTGTGTGTGTGTGTGTGTGGTTAAGTCAAGGGGATGTGAGAAGAGGATGCTCTCCCACATACTTGCACCCTTGATTTATAACACACTGTGTGTCAGAAGACATTTGCGCTCATTTCTTCCTTCATGGACAGAAGCAATATATTCACTGTGTGTGTACGTGTGTTTATGTACCGTACGTGTGTGTGCATGGAAGAGGAACATTAGTCTGTTGTAGTCAGGCAACACAAACTGTTGACTATTAGGATATTTCTGAGTTGTTACTGTCATTGTTACATTTCTGTTAATGCACAAACAAAATACACTGCATGATTGAGAGTTGTATGCAAAGTTAGGCTAAACTCATCCTGACTGCAGCTCCTCACTGAACCCACAGACATGAGATTCATATCTTGTTCTGTCATATAAATATTTATTTAAAGGGTTATATTTTCCCACTTACCCATAGCAGCTTAAATGTGCTAATTAGCACCAAACAACAACTATGGCCGAGACTGATGGGAATGTCATGACTTTTGCAGGTAGTTGGTCTTGAATCAAAGTATTGAACAAATGCAAATTTTGACCTGATGATGGCGCTAGATGAAATGTAAAAGGATTTCCAAAGTTGTTACAATTCATTCAGAGGTAGACGTGAATGTCCCATCTTTCACAGCAATCCAACCAAGAGTTGACGTGACATTTCACTGAAAAACCTTAAATGTGAACCTTATGGGGGCACTAGCAGGATGGAGGTTCACCAAATTCATTAGGAGACATCGTCTGGGAACCATAAATGTCTACAAAATGTCCAATCCATCATTTAGTTGTGTCGCTCACTCCGCCCTCTGCACTTCCTGTACAGGGTAACAGGGAAAAACCCTTCAGCCATTAATGTAGTATTATTAAATAATGTCTGTTCCTCTCTCTATGTAGGTTTTCCATGCCAACATTGACGCCACGGAGGTGGTTCTCAATCGGATCCCACAGCCCGTCCTGGCCCGCTTCGTAAGAATCCGACCTCAGACGTGGAAGAACGGCATCGCACTGCGCTTTGAGCTGTACGGCTGTCAAATTACGGGTAAGAAAGACGTGGCGTCTTCTGTCGATTTTCTCAGACTTTTTCTTTTCTCCTCGTGGGACTCACTCTTGTGAAAACACGGTAGTGGTCTTGCCAAACTTTATACCAGTGATATACTGGCTTTTACTGGTCAGAAGGTGGGTCAAGGCAAAAATAACTCCCTCAGAAAACATTTCCTGGAAAAGAACAAGCAAGCAAATGTGAAATGGTCTTTTTTTTCTCATTTGTATAACCTAATGATGAACAATTCAGTAATTTGTCCATCCATCAATCCATCCAATGCTTCTATTCAGACCTTCCTCTCCTTATTTCACTATGCACACAACACACCCACTGTCATGTGCACTCGCACTCTTGCCCTCGCTCTTTCATATACATATCCTCCCTCTCAGTTTCCCACTCACACACGAAAAGACACACACTCAGTCCTAATAGAATAATACTAGAGTGTGATGTGTGGGTGATAACATCAGAGACAGGCTCTCAGCTTTCATCTGCAGCCCTGGCAAACAAACACGATTTCAACCAGCATAATCAGCTCAATCCTATAAATAGATAAAACTTAATTAGACTGTCTGTGTTTGTGTGTGTGTGTGCTTGTGTGTCATAGAAATGGTAAAAGAGAGTTTCAATCCATTTGAGTGTGTGTGTGTGCGTGTGTGTGTGTGTGTGTGTGTGTGTGTGTGTGTGTGTGTGTGTGTGTGTGTGTGTGGTTGTGTGTGTTTCAGTTCCACTGTATCATTATTGGGTTAGAGCCTCTCTGCTGCCATCGTAGTGGCCATTGAGAGGGACAGATATGCTCTTATCTAGGGGGCTATTTCAGCACCCACACAAATCACAATCACACCAAAACAATATGATACTGTGTGGTTGTGTGAGTGTGTCCCTGTGCATTCATGCGTGTGTGTGAGTGTGTGTGTGTGTGAGAGAGAGAGAGAGAGAGAGAGAGAGAGAGAGAGAGAGAGGGATGTGGCACAAATCAGGTATCTTTGCCTGTGTTCTTGTCTACCAGCAGCCATTCTTTACCCTTTTTTAACACCTGAAATTGCATTATATATCACCCTAAGTTTCTCATATGCTCTCAGCAGTGAGAACCCATTCAACACCTCTTTTCGCCGTTCCTGTTTCCCTGTGTGTTGCCCATCTCTGCTGCCTTGTAATGCCTCCAATCAATCACTGGCCTGAGGAAAACACTGGGTTTATATGCAGCATCTTGTCACTGCTTCCGTTAAGAGAGATGACAGAGGACGTCACTGTAGACGTAAGCACTTTTCTGCCATGCTTTTCAGTAAGACATGTCTATAACCTGCGGAGAAACTTTATAACCAAACACACCCGCTAATAGCTATGCAGTGTCTTCCATTCTTCTTTCCCTGCACATATTGACGAGCACACAACCGAACACACTGCCAGGGGGAAGGGATAATGCCCTACACAGGCCTATAAAGGCCGACATAAAGCACTCAGTCAGTGACATGTCATTAACTTAAATCACACTTTTATGTCTCTCTCTACTTTCTTTCTCGCTTTCTGCCTATCCCTCGTCAATGTCGTTTGTTTTTCCTTCTCTCTCATTCTACTTTCTCCTCTGTCCTTCTATTGCCTTTTGCTGACAGCTTCCATTCCCACTTTTCTCCCCGTCTCTCATTTTCTCCACCCTATAGTCCTTCCCTTAAATCTTACCCTCTCCCTGCCTCATTCAACTCTTTGTTCCTCCATCCCTCCATCTCTCCTTCCTTAATCTCGCTTTATTTTAGCCCTGCAGCACCTATCAATCATTTATTTTTAGCACCTTTATTATTTTTCTCACCAGGCTTATGTAGTGTTCGTAAAGCTATATGTGTGTCTATGTGTGTATATGTGTGTGTGTGTGTGTGTGTGGTGCGCAGCCGTGTGCATGGGTATCGGTGAGGTAGAGCACTCAATGGTGTACTCTACAGCTTTTGTAGAGAGACCCTGTTATCAGGAACAGCACAGTGGGAGTGTGTGTGCGCGCTCATGTGTGGGCTAAACATCAGAGCATGTGCCAATGTGGGAGACCTTGTCTATTCAACTTCTATGTGCTGGTGCATGCCTTGCTTTGTGTGTGTGTGTGTGTGTGTGTGTGCGTGTGCGTGTGTGTGTGTGTGTGTGTCTATGTATATATTTGTGTGGAGCTTTAAGAGCTCTCGTGCTGGTGTGTGATATCTAGCTATTTCTGCTCTTGTGATCTCCAGAGATGATACTCTTATCCACTCCCACTGCACTCCTGTATTAAAAAAAACCTGCTGGAGTGCAGCTGTTCAGAAAAAGATAGATTCAAAAATAAAAAATAAATACAATGATAGAATTTTCAGTTTATGTGTCTTTTACAGAGCTTGAGGGAGCTCATCTAGCATGGCGTAGCTGTTGTTGCTTATTGTTGATTCATTATTTACCATACTGAGGTGCGCTTGCAGACATCACGGCATTAGACATTCATCTCCACGTGGACCCGACGAATGTCACCATCAATCACCGTCACCCTTCACTGTCAATCTGCTCTCTCTCTCTCTTTATCTCTCTATTCACTTGCTCTCTCTACTTTCCATCTTTCTATTTGACCTTTTGTCTATCTCCTCCTTGTCCTCGAACTCTTCTTCATCACCGTTCGTCCTGCTTCCTCTTCCTTCCTTCATTACAATCGTTTTGTTTCTACCCGCTACATTTCTGAAATACAAATGGTCACTCTGTTGTGTTCCCTTTGTTGTTGTTTTTTGATTATTCATGGTAATAACAAATATTCTGATGCTTGTTAGACTAAAACATATTTGTCAGCACAATAAACAGAATCCCTTTGATCTGCAGCATGCCCTCATTTAGTTCTTCCATTTGGGACTTCTCCAGCTCAATTCCCCGTGAAGAATCCCCTTTGGAAGCTTGGTTAAAGTTATGCATCAACTTTGCAGCAGAAGGAAGGAAAAAATAATGAAATGGGTTGATGGAAAGCAGCGGAGTGCCGTGTTTTAACAATTCACGTCACCATCACACCAGCGTTTTTGCTCCATTCCTGACCTTGGAGTCACATTCATTCAGTTTTTGAATTCTTAGATGCTTAGTAATGCAGCAACCTAGAGAACAGGAAATCCAACCGGCTTTAAAGGATGATAATAATGCCATGTATTCCCCTTTGACCTTCATCACTCCTGACCGTTTCCAAAGCAGTTCTTCGATTTCTACTTTCCTGGCAGTCTCTAATTTCATTTCACCGTTTCATTTCACAGACTTGAGCTATAAAATCCATCACAGTAAACATTTGGTGAACTTTTTGTCGATTTTATTTTATTACTGTTTTGGTAATGCAGACCATTTTGAAAAAAAAAAAATATTCATTCAACAAAGCTCCAACATCAACCCTTTAATACAAGAAACGGTGTCCTTCTCACATCAGACAACTCATGAATACAACCTTTTTTCGGAAGCTGATTTTCAAGTGTTCTATGCTTGACTGATCTTTGGAACACGGAAAGAGAGCAGAGGAATGTTTTCCAGCTCTGCATTAATATGCAATGATTACATTTGTTGAACAATGCTTTTTTTGTCATGCTTTAGAAAGAGTATAGTAACCCAGTATTCTCATTCCATTCTCTTTCTGTGTCCTGTTTAGATGCACCCTGCTCAGAGCTGCAAGGCATGTTGTCTGGGCTGCTACCAGACTCCCAGATCTCTGCGTCGTCCATGAGAGACATCCACGGCTCCATGGGGGCGGCCAGGCTGGTGGCCAGTCGGTCGGGCTGGTTTCCCAACCCGACACAACCAATAGCTGGGGAAGAGTGGCTGCAGGTACGTCACCTTGTCCTTATGAGGGATCTTGTTTTTTTTTACACCACAGTATATGTTCTATAGAACTGTTTGTTGCTTTGCATCACAAAAGAGTCTGTAGTTTGAGATAAGGGGCCACAGGTGGGGTTCATTTTACTGCATCAGAAAGTAAATGTTGCTACTTGGCTAGCTTTGCATCTCAGTCAGTATCTTTTTGACCCTTTTCCACTACAGGAATCAAATTTGATGAAAACACGCAGCCTGCCATTGTCACTGGTTCTGCTTTTATTTCTATTATAGTTCCTGAAAAATGTCTCAGAAAGGAGTAAAACAAACCCAAAGCAATAACCATCATTTGCTACAGCACCTCCAATAACAGCGACTGTCAAAATCACTTTTGACAAACCATGAAATGGAAGGCCATTTCGGGGGGAGGGGGGGGGGGGGGGGCTGGAATCAGTTCTAAAAAACAAAAGTTGTACAAGAGGATATTGCAAAATGTGGGAAATAAAATGAGAATAAACCACATCAAGGATCACAACTCATATTGTCCGACTGCAGAACAACCAAGTAATTGGCACAATGGACACCATTTTGAACCACAGACTACCTTGTATTTTTGAACTGAGCCAGTTGAATTACAACAGAAATGCAAAAAAAAATAACACTTTTTCCTTCAGCCTTGCACCTTGTTAAAAGTTCTGTCATGGAAAAACCAGCATTGATGGACTGTGCAGGCTGTAGGGAAAGTCAGAGCTGTTGTAATAGACAGGGGAAAGTGGTGGGCTTCTGCGGTGCAGAGAGTGAGCTAACAATAATGATCATGTTTGTCTGTGTTGCAGACCGATCTCGGTGTGCCCAAGATGGTGCGGGGCATTATTACTCAGGGTGCAAGAGGGCTGGAGGGCAGCACCAGCGCTGAGAACAGAGCATTTGTCAGGAAGTACAAACTGGCGCACAGCTTGAACGGCAAAGACTGGACTTACATCACTGACAGCAAGACAGGGTTTGCTAAGGTAAAGGAGGGGGATGGTGTCTGCCTGACACTTACATATGTACCCTCCTGTCTCTGATTGTCACTGTCACTTCTCCCTCATTTGTAGTTCATTTATAGCTGTCTTTCAACTCAATCCCTCTTTGCTCTTCATCTGCCTCTCTCTCCCTCTCTCTCTGCTTTGTCTTTTCCAAGAAAATAAGCCATTTAATACAGCCTCAGCTCTGATAATAATTCAATTTAATCACCTCAGTCCTCACTCTCCCTGCTTCTGTCTTTGCTGCTGTCTAAGTCCTCTGTGCTCTCTCTCTGCTTCTCTCTGTGTCTCATCCTCCTGTTCACTCATCCTCTATTTGACTCTCATGGGTGTTAATTAAAAATGTCTTTCCTGCATCAACACTGCCGGCAGTCTAACGCACTGTGAGACACTTTAAACTCTCTTCTCCTTTCTGAGACTCAGTCTTAAAACGTTAATGGTACTTCTTAGTGCCAGGCTTTTTCTCCTGATGCTAAAATTCTGTTCTCTCTCATCTGCCTGTCTTTTTAAAAACGCATCCTGGGAAATTCATCATACACTTTTTTTTTTAATTCCAGAAATGGGGAAGACAGATATATGCATTTCAATTAATGCAACCAATATTACAACTTTCACAGTCCACATTTTGAAAGGATTTTTGCAGTCTTGTCAGTTTTCAGCCTGTAATAAATTTTGTGTTTTTCCCACCGGCTGCTTACTTGAAAATCAAAGAAAACACAGTCTCCATTGTTATTTTTATGTCACATGTCATACTGTGCTTGGAAACGGTGCTGATTAGGAGTGTTATATGACTTCGGAGAGACAGGCTCGTGATTTTGCTGTTGTTTTTCAGCGAGACGTGAACGGTGGAGTGGGGAAAAGACTGAATTTTAACTACCTCTGCAGCGAATATGTCTTTCTCCATTGTTTCAGGATGCTCAATGCCGTCTTCACCACAGAACAATGTTTTAGTGCACCCACTCTGACAGATGCCATATGTATCAAATAAAAAAGATGTCAAGCTTATCACTCATCGTGTTAAATCTTAGGCACGTCTCAGACAGCTTTGGCTTTAAAACAAACTCAAGGACAAGCAGTGATACTTGTGACACATTTTCTTTTAAATCACAGCAGGCTCTTCCTGTGCTGAGCTACAGTCAAAAAAAAAAGCTGTCATTAGTGGAGCAGGCTGAAGAACGTTGCCACATTTTCGCATTGAGTGAATTGAACTTGAATGTCAGAATTGACAGAAAAACATCTTTTAAACTGGAGGGGACATGTTTCATCTTTACTCATTCCTTGTTGTACAATGAAAACAGTAAAGCACTGTCTTATAACTCAACATAACAACATAACATCCCTCCTAATGTGCCTTTGCCTCCCTCTTAGATTTTCGAGGGGAACGGCCACTTTGATACTCCTGAGGTGCGGAGGTTTGATGAGATAGTGGCCCAGTACATCAGAGTCTTTCCAGAGAGGTGGTCCCCTGCTGGGATCGGCATGAGGATGGAGGTCCTCGGCTGCGACCTGCCTGGTAAGAACATGCGAGATAACAGAAGGCTACACACATATATGTGCAACACACACACTGGCATGCACATACACAGATAAAGTCACAACTATGAGCTTGCAGGAATGTACACACATTAAAAACACAAAACTTTGTTTGTGACCACACAGCCTTGAAAAAGTTCAATCCATTTGTACCTGCAACTGAAATTTTAAGTTGAATGGAAAAGTGAGTTTTTCTTATCCTACTATATTTAGTCTTTGGGCACATGGACTACTGTTTTTGCAATATATATTGGGTAAAAATGGTCCAATGTGCCAAAACACTAAATATTGGATGTGGAGAAAATGGCTGTATCTCAGAAATTACAATAATTTTAAAGATATGCCCACATTTGAGACGTTAAAAAAAAATCATACGGAGGACATTTAATGAACACAGTGTTATATTTTTATCTCATTTTTCAGAAATCCAGATTTTTTTGCTATTGATAGAAATGTGATTTTTCATGTTGAAAGTTAAACTATTAGATAGTTGCCCGATGTATTTCTGTACCAGATTCAAGACATTAGACCAATCAGAACAATGGTGGCGGCATTTTTTGTGATCAAAAGCAATCTTTTTCCACATCACACATATGTTATCAAAATGATCATGATACTGCTGCATATAAGTAAACATGAAAAACAAAAAAATCACACCATTAATCAATTTGACATCTGTAATTAGTGTGTATTAGGTGCACGGTTGGATGTGTGCTTATGAGGATTAAGAGTGTGTCTGTCTGCTTTTCTTTTTATTTTAATCTGCCATGGTGTGTGTCTTTGTGTATCTCTGTTTCTGTATGTATAGTATTTGTGTGTGTGTGTGTGTGTGTGTGTCTGCGTATACTTATTCGCACTCTGCATAGTGGTTGAAGTTAATCATCTTGCTCTATAGGAGGTAATGCAGCATGTCTGGACAGGGATTACCATGTCTAGGTCATGGGACTTACGGTGGCCAGCTGTGTAGTACTATATTGTGTTCTCAGCCTATTATGTTAATAACACATAGCTATGTGGTAAAGGATTAGGTGCAGTGCATGTTCTGCTGAACATTTTGGTATTCGTTATCAATCTATGATCTGCTCAAGAATTTGTGTAAAACGTTGTTCATAAAGAATGATGATTAAGTGTATAGAGTGACAAATGCAGACCATTAGTCCGTATGTTTCTTTATTGAGCTGTGTAAGTACTATTTATTACAATATGTTACTATTGTATGGAGCTTGTTAGCTGGGGATAGCAAATTATTCTCAGCTGCACAATAATAATAATAAAGCAGGCCATTGTATAAATCTCCCCACATTTACTACTTTACTTAAGCAATAATGATGTGCTTCATAAATTTGGCAGCAATATATTATTTAATATGTTATGAAGGCTAAAAACAGTACCGTACCATATTTGAATGTTTTCTTAAGCAGACCTCTATTCTTAGTTGCAAATGGTGCATTAAAATGCTACTTTTATGGCCTCCTTCTCCCTCTCCTCTCCTCTCCTCTCCTCTCCTTCTCCTTCTCCTCTCCTCTCCTCTCTCCTTCTCCCTCTCCTTCTCCTCTCTTCTCCTTCTCCTTCTCCTTCTCCTCTCCTTCTCCTTCATGTGCCATCAAATCGTACTGCTTCAGTCAAGTTGTGACATGTGAGAGGTGAAGACAAGAACAGGAAATGACACATACCTGTTCCCAGTGGATTTGAAGTGGGCTGTTGGCTGTAACTGATGGCCTGCTGCTAGAATTCTGTATTTTCTGTGTGTGTGTGTGTGTGTGTGTGTGTGTGTGTGTGTGTGTGTGTGTGT